AATCCAAGAAGTGACAAAAAGAAATCAGAGATATCACACACAAATATTCCAGGATCGTGAAGAGAGTGACAGAGATGACAATGACGCGGTTCAGATAAAGGTCATAGTTTTTATTACCATTTTGTTCTTCTTTGCTTGCTTTGTTTTGTTTTGTTTTTTAGATTTTTTTCTTTTATCAACTCATGCTCGATAACATAACTAAAGGGCCGTCTGTCAGCAATGATTTTGGTCTTTTTTCCATTACAAAAATTCCCCCTTCCTTTCCTCATGCACAAATCAATGACTACCCAATTAACCAGAGGGTTCACATTCCGAAGCGGGTGTTGCAAAATTAAATAATGACAAGCGGCAGATCCCAGAGATTCAAGGTAAAAAAGATACTTGAAATGGAAGCAAGATAAAAAAATAATTTATACATTTCCAGATAATTTGTTTTATTAAGAGTTTTATGGTACCTGCAACACACATTTTAATCTTATAAGATAATGCCAAAGATTAGAGGCGTTACTAGAGAATAACAAACACAAAAAGGAGGAGGGATGAGGACAATAGTAGTTTGATAGAAAGAAGGAGCAAAGTACAACAGAGCACCCACCAACCACTCACATTATTTATAAGCACATTGACACAATCACGTTGAGAGCTGGGAGTGAGCAAGACAAACAAAAAGGAGCAACACTGGACACTTGTAGCACAGTGACAAAGAAGCAGGACCTCCTTGTGGCACTCTCCAAAGACACGCCAGTGGTCCAAAAAGATGACAAAACAAAACAATAAAGAACGTTTTAAACAGTTTTGATTTAGAAGGCATTTTACGGCACTTGCAACATAATTAGGTCATGTAAGTGCCGAAGATAAAAGGTGTAACAAGAGAGTAACACGCATAAAAAAAAAGGAGGAGAGGTGTAGACAATAATTGTTTGGCAGGAACGAAGGAGCAAACCACACAAAAGCACCTGCCAACCACACACCCTGTTTCATTTTGGCTTTTAAAAATAAAAAAAACACACCAAACCCCCCCCATTAAGAAGTGATGATAAAGAAGCAGAGATCTATCAAACAACAAAACTTTAAGGCTCGACCTGGAGGAATGTGACAGAGACAACGACCCATAGCTCCGTTGAAGTAAAAGTCACAAGGTTTTTGATGTGTGCTTCGGTTTTCGTTTATATTTTATCAACTCTTGTTTGATAGTAATGATAGCCAACTAAATGATAGTATGTCTACAAGACTGTTTTTCCCTTTTGCATAATTTATTAATTATATATTCATATTCTAAATTCGTCTATATCAAGCAGAAGGATTACATTCTGAACCAGCTGTTGCACGGTTCGATGACCTTGTAAGTTTGTTACTCTGTTTAATTTTAAAAGTTAAATCAGCTTTGTGCACTACTGTGTACTTCGCAAGAAGCTGAGAATGTGTCTGAGTGTTCTATGGCCTGCTGGGGTGTTGACATCAGGGATGCCACTCAACTTTTTTGAAAATAGCTGAAAATCCACGCGCCACGATCTCGCTAACATATGGATATCAATTTGAAACCCAAAGGGTGTACATAGAGAGAAGTGACTTGCCGAGATTAGCGCAAATCTTCCGCGTTTTTTTTTCTCCCCTTTATTAGAAATTATGGTGAAGTCTTCTTCGTTTTTCGGTTATTTTAACATCTGGCGCAAGTTGTGTGTGTGTGTGTGTGTGTGTGTGTGTGTGTGTGTGTGTGTGTGTGTGTGTGTGTGTGTGTGTGTTGGGGGGGGGGGGATGGGTTCCCAACTATAGATTCTATCTGGATCTCAATAACTGAATAGCGGATCAGGATCAAAATACCGGAAATACCGGAAAAAAGCGGAAAAGTGGCACCCCTGTGATATAAATTGTTAAGAGCGTTGAGCTTGCTTAAGTAGGGATAGATGCTATGCTATGTATTTTTATCTCTATTTGTCTTCTTCTTCATCTTCTTCTTCTTCTTCTTATTATTATGACCAAAGGCTGAATATCCCAGAGATTGAAGATGAGATCAGCATGATCAGAACGCACTAAGACTTCCAGATTTGACCCAATTGTAAGAACTAGATCTATAGATAGGCTAGTTGCTGCTTGAAAAGCTAGTGTAGTAATAGTAGTAATACTGTAATGATGAAAGTAATTTTCGGAGACAGTGTATTTGGTACCCCCCCCCCCCCCATCCCCCCTACCCCAAGCCATCCTCTAGATTGAGAGGAAATACTCCAGGAAGGTACAGAAAACAGATTTCAACCTCATCCAGATGTAAACCATTAACTTCAGAGAAGTAGGTGAGGTTCATAGCCTTCCGCACTGGAGATGTCAATGGGCGCTGGAACCAAAGAAACACTTTCTTAAAGAGTACGAGGTGTGTCTCAGAATAAAGTTTCCCTGTCATGCTGTCCTCACATATAATTATAAATCACCTTGTATTTGGTATCAAAGGAAAGTTTATTCAAATACCTATTCAACGCAGGAATCATCAAGTTCAAGACATTTCTCTATTTGATGTTCCCAGCGGTCAAAGACAGTGGTCAGTGATCGTTCGTCCAAGGTCCCGAGTGCCTTTCTCATGTCATAGCCTCTTGAATCTGGTCCTCGTCCTCAAATCGCCGACCTTGCAGCATTTTTTCCACCTTGGGGAAGAGGTGGAAGTTGCAAGGGGCGAGATCAGGCGAATTGGGCGGGTGCACCATTGATTCCCACGAGTAGCCCTCAAAAAGCTCGTTCACAACTCTGGACTTGTGAACAGGCGCGTTGTCATGGTGCAGGATGACGTCTTCTTCAAGCAAAGCGGGTCTTTTTTTCTGGATCGCAGGTCTCAGCTTGTCTTTGAGGACGAAACTGTAGTAGCCACTATTGACAGTTACCGTACGTCAGATGTGACTAGCCAGCTCAGTATGAAGCCACTCATGTCGAAAAAACCCAATGTGCATCACCTTTCTCTCCCCATGTTTTCTGTGTGCGCTTCATCTTTCATGTCAGACCTCCCACCTTCAACCTCCCTAATCCATTTCCTTACTGTTTGAATTGATGGGGCATTATTTATTCCCTGTTAGTTTGTAAAAATCACCATGGGTTTCAACTGCAGACTTGCCGAGAAGAGTTGAAAATTTGATTACAACTCAGACATCGTAGAATGAGAAGGTTGCCCCAATGTTTTGCTCAGCCATTTTCCTCGGATTTGCCTTGGACAAAGAGCAGAAGTACACCACACTTGACACGTCACAGCTCTATGATCCGTTCACCAATGCACTTGCAATTTGGCGTTGAGATTTCTTAGTCATGGTGTCATGACCTCACAAACTTTAGTGGCTGTTGGTCTCGTACTTTGAGTTTTATTGAGGAGGGAGACTTTATTCTTAGACAGACCTCGTACAAAGAGAACATCCCACTGAGTGCATGCCCTTTGACGTATAAAGCTGTCTATCAGTGACACCATCTAAAATATTTTCGTTGCATCATAATAGAGACAGGAGAAAACTATTTTTAAAAGTTACAGCATAATGCAATCTAACACACACATGGGACACGGAAATCTTTTCATTAAGCACAAATTTTGCAATAAATATATGTGAGGCGTGCTGACAAAATGAGTTACTTCTCACTGTCCACAAATGGAGATGTTGACCAAAAATCGACATTAGGGTCAAATTGGTAGATTTTCTATTGATGCTATATTCTTTAACTATAACCTGTCTTTTATTATTTCGTACTTATTAATTGTAAAAACTTCACCTGTAAACATGATTTATCC